TTGTGCTAAAGATAGGGAGAATGGCTGTTTTAGCTAGCAGGAACTTTCCTCGAGCCCCCAGGGAACAGAGACCCTAATCTGAATGCCTGACCTTGCAAAAAGGACTTTTTCTGGGGAGCAGACACTTAAATTACACTGCATTTTCTTATTCCTCTCATACATAATGTTCCCAAAAGGGAAGGTCCTGATGTCTTACTCTTTTCCCACTATACCATACCATTCTGATTTTTCTGTATTTATTTTAATGGCCTCAGGCTCTGAATCTGAATTGTAGGCATTTTATCCTTGGGTCAGGGGTGCCTGGTAAATCTCTAACATTACTATTCCTGTGTAATTAGGAGGGCACAATGAAATTCCTGCATCCATGGTGGTGGTGATTTTCCTCCAAAGTATTGTTTTGTTTTGAGAAGCTACCAAGGCACACATTTTAATCCTTTACCAAAGCCCATACAAAATTTACTTAAAGGAAAGGCATTAATAGTGAGACTCTCAGGCATATACCCGAAGGATACACATTCACACAACAAGGACATCTGTTTAACTATACTCAGAGCAGCATTATTTGTAATAGCCAGAACCTGGAAGCCACCTAGAAGCCCCTCAACCAAAGAATGGATACAGAAAATGTGGTACGTTTACATAATGGAGTACTACTCTGCAGAAAAAAAAAATGGAATCTTGAAATTTGCGGGGGACAGTCAACATAGACCAGGGACACCTAGGAGAAAATGAAGGACAGGGGGTACAAAGAAACGGACGGCAAGATGGTATTCTGATCAAGCAGACCACCTTTATTCACCCCAAAGGGATTTATATAGGACCATAGGAGGGAAGTGAGGAGGGGAGGGAATGGGGATGTTAAATGAGCTTCGATGAGCTTGGCAGAGCAGAGGTCAGTGGGAGGGGTAGGCCATCCTGTGCCCCTGGTAACCTAGCTGTAAGTTCTAATTATTTCTTTCACAATCTCATCGTCTATTGTTCAAGCCAACGCCTGAGTGACTTGGTAATTTTCACTAGGCTTAATCTTCAACTGGCAGATAAGCCACGAGTCTGTTTTCTAGGAACTTGCTTTCCTAACTGAAGAGGAGGTATTTCTGCGGTGTGGCCTGGAGTCACGTCTTCTCTATGAGGAGGGAGTTGATAATGCTATGTCTGGATTATAGTGGAGGTCCCTGACATCCAGGCATATGGAGAATTATTAGAAATGAAAGCTGGAGATGCATTGTCTGCCATGTCAAATGCTAGAATTTTGTCAAGAAGCGATGGCCACCACGTGGTCCATGCCAAATCACCAATTAAGAAAATATCCTTATAGCTGGATCTTATTTATGTAGGCATTTTCTCAACTAAGGTTCCCTCCTTTTAGATAACTCTAGTTTGTGTCAAGCTGACATAAAACTAGCAACCACACAAGATAATGAAAAACATTTGAATACTATCAGGTATGAGGCAAGAGTGACACAGATGCCTAATGACCTAAAATATCTAAAATATCACCATGGTTTCTTACTGGAGGTAGGGGTTGGGGGGTGGGTAAAATTCTAACTAAACTGTGCCTCACAGTAGGCCAAATGTGTCTATGAACCCACACAGTAGAAACTTCGCTAGCCTTTAAATGTGAGATTATAACACATGTACTTGAGTAACTGCTAAATGATACCCCCAGTCTATAAATCAAGTAGGGAGAAACAGTGACAACTTCCAGGACTTTGAAAACCTGCTTCAGACATTAGCCACACCCAATGGGCAACAGGAATTAGTGGCACCATTAAAAATGTGCCTGTCATATTTCCATTTAATGTGTCTCCTTAAGTAATAGACTTTTCAGGTAGAGGCACATTTGTTATTCCACTTCACATAACAGAGAAAAAAAATTATAAAACAATCCCTTTCATTTCTATAATCATTTACTAAAGTATTTTCTCACATGCCCCAACAGCAGTAAGAAAAGTCCTGGGATCCTATAAATAAGAAAAGGCTGGGAATCCGGAGGAGCTAGGTGACCTACTTAAGACAGCACAAGAGCCAAGATCAGAGCCAAGCTGTGTCTATAAATGATCTCGGTGGTACTGGCCCAATTGTGTCTGCCACCAGAAGTCTCCAGAATAAGGAGGTAAAAAAGCTCACGGCACACAGTTAGACAGGTGGCCCTGGAAGCCTGACTAAGCTGAAGCTGACTCGTCCATTCACAGGCTGACCTAGTACACGGTCCCGAACGACCACAGAGGCATGCCACCTGACAGGATTATCCATAAACATCAACCTGTTTCAATATTGTGGTAGCCTTCTAAAAAAGTAAGTTAGTGGACTTCAAAATAGTCGTCTATGCATTTTCCTAACAATGAGATGATTTTAAATTGTCTAATTTACATTTCACCACTAAAAGAAATTTAAATGACAAAGAGCCCGTCAAACATATTTGATCACACACAATGATTAGAATATTTTAATTCGCTTTGTCTATAATGGCAACCTAATAAAGGAAATCATCTCTAATATATGGTATTCACTGAACTAGCTTTCCCTAGCTTAATAAAAGAGCTACTGAATTTAAATATATGTACACAAATTAAGAGGCTCTAAACCATAAATATCTAAATAATTTACATGTACATTGATTCACCTGTGAATTTTCACATATAACTGAACTTTTTAGTATGTCTTGATCCATACTATTTTGCACCAAGTATTTTAATTTTAATGCATCAAATGATGGCCATTCAATTGTAACTTTTAGTTTCATCTAAAAACACACTGAATATCTCTTACTATCCTTAAAAGTCATTTTATTCTAAGGAATAAAATTGTAAGACATGAAAATTGTAAGATCCTTCTCCAAGTTACACCTTTAGGGGATCTGTTTAAAGTGGGGATAAATTTTCTGCACCTGTGATGGGTAACTATACAGACGGTGCTGAGTGTTAGAACATGAGTATTACTGTACACACAAACACGCTGGTTTTCAGAGCGAAGTGACTAACATGACAAAGATTCTGAAAAGGTAGGCAAAGGAACAGAGAAGGTGAAAAGTGAAGAAAAGAATTTAAAACTCTGACTCGCAGGTGAAGATGAGGGATCAGATTTGGTATGTGAGGCCCTATAGAAGACATAAGGTCCTACAGATGATGCAAAGCCCTATATGTGATATATGGTCCTATAGAAGATATAAGGCCCTATAGACGATGTATGGCCTCCATAGATGAGTCAAAATAGATTGTATCACATAGATTGCAGCTCAATTATAAAAGCAACCAGTTAGTAGATAACATGGAATACTATCTCCAGAGATGCCTCTAGTTATTACATGTACTTAGGCATGAGTTAGCTCAAGAACTGGAAAACTCAGGTTCACAGATTGAATTCATCCACAGAAGTTTTTATGGATCACTGCCACTCCTCCCATGAATTTCCTTCCATATGACACCTGGCTCTACAGAAAATAAGTTGCATAGATGCAAGGATATTGCATGAACATAAATTTTTGAAGCCATTACCATCTGTCTCTTAACAAGAAGTATCTGTAGACTCCAGTAGAGAAAATACAGGGACCCAGAGACCATACAGACGCTGAACAAGATACCACAAGCAAATGATTGCCTGGTATTTGGGGACAGGGACAATACTCCACATTCCAGGAAGTAGGTACTATGGGTTCTTGATGGCCAAATCAACCCAGACAAGATGCTAGTGGGCTGAAGCTCTACTTCAGTCTTGTGGAAGCGTTGTCCAGGGTGTGGGCTGCACATCATTCAGAGGAGTCATGTTTGTCTCTTTTGCACAGGCCTGGAACACAACACTGAGATACACATCCAGAACAATGGTCACAAACTGACTTATCTAAGGTCCCATAGCACAGACTCTCTATCTGGAACAGTATCTTCACCAGCTCAGTGTCTCCTCATTTACAACCATGGCTACGGAAATGAGATTCCCTGCAGGTCTGCTTGTTTCCAGATCCTAAGAACACCATCCTCTCTCTAAGAAACACATGTCAATCGGCTACTGAAAAAGTAATGTCAGTTAAAGAGAACCAACCCACAGATATCCGTGTATATTATAATACACAGAATTTTCCAAAGTTGTTTCTGGGGTGATATATTATTTATGATTTAATAAAGTCACAGCCATAGAAACTGAGCAGTGGTGGCACACACCTTTAATCCCAGGAGATGGAGGAAGATGGATCTCTCTGAGTTCAAGGCCACCCAGAGCTACATAAGATTTATCAGCCTAAAAGAGGAACAGAGCTCATGCATTTAATCCCAGCATGAGAGAAGTCTATAAGGAAGAGGCAAACGGTCTCATGGGAGATTCAGTTTCCAGTCACAGGGAAGACAGGATCTCCATTTCAGCCTTGGTAGAGGTAAGAGCTACTGGCTGACTGCTTTGCTTTTCTGATCTTTAGCTTGAACCCCAATATCTGGCTTTGTGCTTATATTATTCATCTACAACTTCAGTTTGAAATTCTTCTTATCTTAATAACTTACTTTAATGTGTAACAAAGCAATAGATCTGGGGACTTGACACTATTTATAATGCTGCTAGGTTAGAAACTCCTTCAAAGGAGAAATTACATGCATTCTTATTCACCACACAATTAGTATATCACATGCTAATTAGCCGACAGAGAACTGAATTGATTCCATTCTAGAAGATGTAACTAATCCACAGGTATATGTGTTAGTAATTTCATTAATCAAAGTCGTTTTACTTATTTAAATGAAAGGAGTCTCCAAACTGGTTGATTTTCTACTGAATCCACTGGCCTCAAAGCAGCATGAAAGATCTTAACAGCTACAAGTACAATCCGTCTGCTCTACAGGACATACATAGTATGATTCAAGAGATGGAATAGCAAGGTAAGTAGATGACAAATGATCTGACAGAAACACAGCCACACAGACAGACAGACAGACAGACAGACAGACAGACAGACACACACACACACACACACACACACATGATTAATGAGTTAAAAGTCAGCAAAGACAATTAATTACCTGAAGAAGGTGACAAAAAACTGGACGAGATCCATGATTGTATTGTGTTGTGAAAATGCAATCTGAAAAATCAAAATACAAGAAAGTCTGAAATTGACTGAGCATAAATTCTTCAAAAACAGTGTTGATGTTTCACAGCATTTATAAATATTTCTCAGTAAGCAAAACAGTTTGAAATACCAAACGATAAATGAAATATGTACATGAAAACTTTACCTAGAATACCAAACTATTAAATTAGTAATGATGATCATTATACAGATTACAATATAAAGCAGGTAAGATCTATCAAAAAATTAAGACAGAAACATGAGCTATGACTTCCATGTGAAGTAATACCACAATGTATTAAATGTGCCTAACAAGAACTTGAAGTTGAGTTTCTTTATCTAAGTGAGGATCATGTTTTCAATTTTCACAGCTGACAATTACTTATTTGAAAGAATCTCAGCCATATCATCAGAAACCAGGAAGTTTTACCTCCCCCATAGATCTTTGCCCACAATAGTGGAATACACACATGAATACATTTTATTCTGCCAAATCATTTTAAAATTGCACATTAATAAGGAATAAACCTCGCAATGTGAACCTAGCGAAGTATCCAAATTTGCCTCCCCTTCAGTGAATGTCAAAGGTCCTAAACTGTAACATTTTTCTCTAGAAACGATTGTACAACCATGAGGCAATAGCACAGTAGCTGATGGGGCCCAGTGGGTTGGGAATGATACCTCTCATGGTAACCTCACATATTTTAGAAAATTGCAGAGCTACATATCTCAGTTTTCCTGTAGTGAATGGTAATGAAGAAAGCATCTGCACCATAGCGGAAGAGGAAAACAAAGAAATAGAAATAAGAATACAATAAAACATTTGTGTTTATAACGGTAGGCACACACAAGATTTGATGTAACAAATACTGACCTTTTATAACATATGTAAATGAAATATTCAACAGCAATGAGTACCCATACATAGCTGAAGATACAGTATTAAGATATGGTTATGGCTAGCTTGTTTCTTCTTAGTGATCTTTCAACAATATCTTTAGAGGACATATCAAAATAGATTAAGAGTGTTGAGTATTCTCTAACATTTTAAACAGCTATGAGACTGGAGGAAATGCATAACAATTTAGAACCTGGATGAATGACAAAGAAGAACTGTAATTCTGAGTTAAGAAATGCATAGATGCACCCTAGACGTAACCCAGATTTCAGTGTGGCCTCACTGGACAAGAGATAGCAAGTGAGTTTGTCCGCATGTTTGATTTTTATGTGTGTGTGCCCATGTATGAAGGGTCATGAGGAGCCTGTATTAGTGTGTGCGTATGTGCTTCTACATGTATCTGTGTGCAAGTGTGTGCGTATGTGTGTGAGTGTGCATGCATGTTTGTGCACACAAATGTACATGTATATATACATGTGGATGTATGCACACTTATGAGTGTGCTGTGAGTGAACCAGACTGAGAGCACATGTGAGCATTCTGGGTGAATGCAGTCACTACTCACTACTACTAGCTGTAGTTGCACTACAAGCCCCTCTTTGAAATTTTAAAATTAATTATTTGACCAGATAACTTATTAATTAAAACCTTAAGTCAATTACGCAATTAGGTTTATGGCTTACCAATGTGAATAAAAATATATAGCATTCATGTACAGCAATTTGAATTATAAAGAGTTCATACATAAACTAAGGAAATATAATTAGAGTAGCTAGAAAAGTATTTTAAAAGATGAAATAAAAAAAACTTTTTAAAATAGAAAAGATATTTAATTTTTTTTTAAATCCAGGTCAGAATCTGATGGAAAAATAGTCTATCAAAAATTATATTCAATGCCGTATATGCTAAGGAAAAATCCAGATACTGGAATTAAAAACTATCTGGGTCATCTCTTAAAGGTTAACTTTTTGAAATCTGACTAAAGAAAATGATCTGGATTTAGGGAAGTTACAAGATGACCTAAGAGAGCACCAGGAATGCCAGGAAAGGGGAGGGCAACTTAAAGAAACCATGGAGTCAACAGCAAGCGTGTGGAAAGGAACTCTGTGGGAGTGAGTGGGCACAGACTCTCCTGACTGAGGAGAAAAGATACTGCAGACAGACAGAGAAAGGAAGAGACCCTGCATGCATGTCTTCAAAGGGGACGCCTACTAAACATTCCACAACAAACACCAAATGCTACTTAGGATCTCAGTGGGCAATGGAATTTACACATGTGGGAAAGAACATCAGGATGTTTTGAAATCACAAACATCTGTGGTATTTCACAGACACTGGAGAGGAGTATTCCGAGCCACTGTGCTACCAGAAACTAAAATGAAACGTGAAATTAGACAAGTTAGAACCACACCTACCAAATGTCTCCTTTGCTGGCCGACTCCCCACCCTCCCCCACCCCCGCACAACACTACAAAAGACGTGTGAGGGTCCACAGCCTGCACCCCGGTTTACCTCGACCTGCAAGCTGAAATCAAACTACCGTCCTGGCTCTTGTGAAAATATCTACATCTTTCTTATTCCGTCACTGATACAGCATATACTTAACTCAGATTTTAGAAGTCTTAACGCTTTTTGTCATAACTCTACCTTGTAGAACATTCTGCAAACAGCTTAGCCAAACAAAAAGTGCAGCTATGACCACATCTATCTGTTCTATTTACCTCAACTACTTTCTGCTCAACTTTGTTGTTCTTTGGTCCACACGGGGCAGCAAAAACCATATGAAAATTATTTATACCAACTTCAATTAGAATCTGTGCCCATCTAAACTTACTGTAATGCTGCTGGCTGTTCCTACTATTACGCATCAACAAGGAAAAGTACAGGCATGTGTTAATAAATGACAGGCATGTCCAGTGACCAGAGAGTAACGGTGGCACTGCGCAAGGGAATTGGCGGAGCGCTGGGTGGCGAGCGAGCTTTCTCGAAGTGGATGCTATCTATGCTCTCCCGAGCTGTCCCAGCTGCGCCCGGCCTACTTCGCCTGGGAACCCCTTGCTTTTGACTCTCGTTATCCTGCTCCTCTCATGTTTGATTTCTACGCCCAGCAGCTAATCCACAATGCCGGGCCTGCCTTAAGTTGCTTTTCAAGCTCTATGTGCTGCCCGTTGTTCCGGGGCACTTCAGAACTGTGCAAAGACCCGTCCTCTCATCTGCTACTGGGCTGGGCAAAGCCACTCTGGTTAATACACCCGTGTGCTTCCAGAGAGCTTCTGGAGCTTTGGGGTTTCCCTGTTGCTTCTGTCTTCCTCCTGCAGGCACACTGGGCTCATGACTTATGTCTGTGGTAGATTTGTGTTGTTCTGTGTTTTGGCATTTGTGGGGATATTGTGAAAGTAATTGACACTGATGACACTGAAGTCTTTTTTGTTGTTTTTGTTTTTGTTTTTCAAGACAGGGTTTCTCTGAGCCTTTGGAGGCTGTCCTGGAACCAGCTCTTGTAGACCAGGCTGGTCTAGAACTCACAGAGTTCCTCCTGTCTCTGCCTCCCGAGAGCTGGGATTAAAGGCGTGTGCCACCAATGCCCTGCAAATGTATAGCCCAGGCTGGCCTCAAACTCATGATCCTCCTGCCTCCTTCAGCAAACCGTACCAGCGTGTGCCACCACAACCTGTGGTCTTATTTTGAAATCCAGTTATTCAAACTCTAGAAACATGGTAAGCCGGGGACATAAAAACCGTGCTAGCAGTATCCTATAGGTTTACTATTTGAAAGCTTTACATCGACTAAGCTTCTTTTACTATTTTGAAAATAGAGTTTTACTTAAATTTTACTGGACTTTAACATTGTCCCAAAACTATGTTTCAATTATGAAAAACTAATTTTCTCTGTGCAATTTACATTCTCTAGTTTTCCAAACAGTAATGGATTACAGATTTCTTAAATTCTTCTGTTGCTGATTACTGTTTTGGTTCATGACATTTTGAAAGTTCAGGCTGTGGTATGTCTGAAGCTCCTCAGTCCATACTATCCTTAGATTGTATTGCTACATCCTAAATTGACATCACAGCCACTACACTTAAAAGCCCATCTGTTTAAGCTACTCAGCAAGTCATGGTTCCAATTCACAGGTACATCACTGGTCTCAGTGTGCTAAGCCAACAGCACCAACTACTACTTTTGGGGAAGTCCTGGCACCTCCAACCATCTTTTTTAACGTCACTCTAACACACAAAGGGTTTGAAATTGCCTTAATTAACAGGTGTCTGAACAGAAGGAACAACCAATAGCGTTGAGATCAATTTGGGTAGGCGCAGCACATGACTTAAAGCTGGCATCTGTGTAGCTGCCCTGCTGCCCTGTGTGGGTAACAGCACTACAGACTTCAGGGGGAAAAAATCATGTTTAAGACGCATGCAAAACATCTACGTTTTTCAACACTTGCCTCAAGACATTTGAATAAATTAAATGTTTGAGTAGGATTCTACAAATTATAGTCACAATGTGAGACATTCAAGTACTCTAAAACTTGAATTAACCCAAGTCTCTATCTGTATCTGTAAATTAGAAAAGCTATTCTGAGAGATATACATGTTTGTTTTTATTTCAGCTTGTATTAGGAGGACAAACTGAGTTCGACAAGACCAGGAGGTAACGAATATGCTTAAATATTGAAACTCTTAACTCAAGACCTAGATTAACGTTTTAAAGACAGTCTGCCTCTCACAATGCGGAATCTCATGGGAAGGGCAAACTGGTGAGGACTGGGCCTCTGCCAAAAATGGCAACAGAAATACAAGCCACCTTGGGAGAACATTCCTGAGGCTCCACTCCTCCCTAAAGAGGAAGTTCCTGGTTGGCTTGGAGAAGGGAGGCCCTGTTTGGGTCCCCGTATTTGCATACCCATGGAAGCAACTCTAGTTAAAGTAGCCAGGTAAGAAAAACAGGAACCAAAGATAGGAAAATAGGAGGGGGACCGTGGTGGCTTGAAAGAGAATGTCCCCCATAGGCTCACATATGTGAATGCCTGCAACAGGAAGTGGAACTGTTTGAGAAGGATTAGTGGGGGGACTGGGGGGTGTCACCTTGTCAGAAGAAGGGTCACTGAGGGTGG